GTTTTTGTAATCCGAGTTTTAGTCGGAGCACGGAGAGACCGAGAAGAACGGAATGTCCATATAGCAACAGGTTGTTTTCGATCTTCGAGCTATCACACACACACATACACGCGCGTGCGCGCGCACACACACAAACTACTTGTCATGAGCCGTTGTAATATTACGAAATATTACTAAAAGGAGTTTATGCATTTTAGACAATTTTGGAAGCACGCGAGAAACATTGAGTAATTCACGTTAGGTTTTTTCTTACTCAATTTCACTTGCTGAATCCGAAAATGGTAGTTAAAATTGTCCTATATAATATACAGGAAATTTTTTTTTACATTTTAAACAGAAAAATGCAACGGTTGGTTTTATCATTTTGTTGAACCATATCTGCGAGTTTTTTTTCTCATCCTTTCTCATCAGCTTGAGAATCTACAAGTAGCCTTAAGTTGTGTATACATTTTAACTTTATTTGCATCGATATTTTATATTTTATCTTTATAAAGATAACTTGTAGATTCTCAAGCCCTGGGAAAGAATGAGAGCTTGGATAATATCGAAATATATATTTTTATAAAAACAAAAAGAAACTCGCAGACATGGTTCAACAAAGTGATAAAATCAATGATCGTTGCTTTTTTCAGTTTAAAATGTAAAAAAAAATATTTTCCGAATACTTAGACAATTTTAACTACAATTTTCGGATTCAGTAACTGAAATTAAATAAGAAAAAAATGAACCCAACGTTCCCCGCGTGCTTCTCAAATCGTCTAAAATGCATGAACTCCTTTGTATTCTCAAATCTTGAGTGTAATTCCTATAGTTTTACGAGTGTGTGATTGAGGAGTGTTCAAATGGCAAATTAATGCAACAATAATAATAAATTTTTAGAAGTACATGCAAAATTATATTGTATAATTTTATACATTTGCCTTCCATAGAATAGAGAAATATTGATAACTTCTGATGTTTACAAAATCAACCCATAATTTTCAAATCCATGCAGATAGACATATGGATAAATAGTCTTTTCACACATTATTATCATAAATAAATGTTTTTATACTTATAGACGTAATAAAATGACGAATGATGCTGGGATAAATGCATTTTAGTAAAATTATATTTTTTGTATTCAAAATATCACAATGATTGTTATGTATAAAAAAATGTCAATCACATTCGTTAAGCAGGTACATCCTGATTAACCAGGATTGCTTTATCATTTATAGGTTCTGCTTAAAGTGCAGAAAGAATTACTTGCATATGGAAACACGCAAATCAGCATTCTTGAGTTAAGTCATCGATCGAATGACTTCAAGAAAGTTATCGATGATGCTCAGGCTACTCTGCGAGACATTCTGTAAGTCAATAATCTAAATTAAAATACTCGACAAATGTCATTTATTTTAAAAATGATATCAAATCATTTATTACAACATTATAAATAAGATTAAATATATCGAATAACGTAATATATTAATTTTTTCAAGACTTTCAAAATAAAAAACTTACAGTTTCTATCATTTATAATTTTAACATTCTTTTAAATACTGAAATCAATAAGTTAATCTTTTCTTAAATAAAATTTTCAGATAAATAATTTTTCAGATAAATAATTCAATTTCAAGATTTTTTTTTAATTTATTGTATGTCCTGTTACAAAATAAATATAACATATTTGCCATTACCTGATGGCTTTTTAGATAATAATTTACATATTTATCATAAACATATATTATAGATAGATCCGAATATATGCCGTGTGTTAGTCATGTGCGAGAGAGAGGAAACAACATCTGATTTACTCTCTTCTCTCTTTAACATATAGATATAATAACATATACATGTACATATAATAATATTTGCTAGAGAGAGAAAAGAGAATCAGATGTTGTTCTTTCTTTCAACGTGCCTGGCAATATATGACATACGGTCTATCTACCTATACTATGTCTATGCATATTTACACACACACACACACACACACACATATATATATATATATATATATACAGGGTGTTTATAAAGTCCCACCCGGGCCTAATATTTCGGAAACGGCTTTAGATATGGAAAAATGTTTCAAACAAAAGTTGTTTGACTTCAAGGGGGATATAAAATGGTACCATTGGTTTGACCTTGAATGGCACTGTCAAGATCAGGGAAAGGTCACTCCAAATTTTTTAAATATATACATATATATTTTTTAAATATATACATATATATATATATAATTATATATTATATATAATATTATATATATATATATAATTTAAAATATATATATTGGGTCATTCAGAAAGTTCTGCAGTTTTACTTCCGGGGACAGGTTCATGTAATCATGTACGGTACTTTTTGCAATTTATAATTTCTCTGCCAGTTCTTATAAGTACTGTATAACAATTAAAGATTTTCGGCGATATGCTTGCTCCAGTAGATCATCCACAGTGCAGAGACGCCCAAATCGCGCCTCGTCTTTGAGAGTGAAATTAAATTACCTTGTTGAAATTTCACCAACCATCTCCGAACCTTATCATCAGAAATAGTATCTTGTCTGTAGACTTTACAAATTTTACGCGTTGTCTCGCAACTAAAGTTCCTGCCCTTTATTCTGAAGTAGAAAAGCATAATATTTCAAAAATGTTGTATCTGATTCTGCATCTTTAGAGCACTATAGAATTAAGTTGAATATACTGAACATATGCCGCCATTATGAATGAATGCATTGTTTAAACAAAAGATTGTTTTTTCTTATCAACCTGAAATTATTTGGACTTCCTCGTTCAGATTAACGCAAAATTCAAACTGGTATCCGCACAGTGAAGAAACTGCAGAACTTTTCAGATAACCCAATATACATATACATATACATATACAATGGCCATTGGAGGTTGTTTCTTTTTTTTTTCCAAAAAACAAAAATAATTTTCAAAAATGAAAATAAGAGCAACATCTTTTAATGGCCTTTATCTTGATATATGTTGTCTTATGATCATGAACAACATTCAAGAAGTTTTAGCCATTAATTGTTCGGACATCTTGGATATAATGCTAATGCCAGCGGTACTGTAACTTTCAAGTTTCATAACTCGAAATTTACTTAATCAAAAAATACTTTATTATCGTGCTTTGGAAAGCTCTTGATATCAGCTATTGGATTATGGAATCAACAATAAGGTATTCTATTTTAAAAAAATTAATATGACCTTTACCTTAGCGACGCTCAAGATCAAATCGATAAAATCAGTAAATAGATCTTTTTGAACCCTACAACTTTTGTTTGAAACATGTTTTAGAAAAAACGTCCGAGTTAATTCGCCGTTTCAACCTTTTTTGAACACCCTGTATAATAGATGTATTGTAAATTATTGATTTTTACAAGTGATTTCTGTTTTTTAAAGCAATGTTCCTGACAACTATAAAATCTTGTTCATGCAAGGAGGCGCTACCGGAATATTTGCGGCAATTCCTATGAATATTATGAATACTGGCACTGCGGATTATTTAGTAACGGGTAAGAAATAATTTTTAAAACTTTAATGAAGTAGCATAACAAAAGAATTTTGTAACCTAAATATATATTTGTTTAGGCTCCTGGTCTGCAAAAGCAGCAAAAGAAGCGGCGAAGTATGGAAAAGTGAACATGGTTTTACCTAAAACGACAAAATACACAGAAATTCCGAATCCTTCTACTTGGAAATTAGATACGGCGGAAGCATCATATGTTTATTATTGTGCCAATGAAACAGTGCATGGTAAACAAAATATTTTGAATCTTTTTATGTTATAATTGTTTACTTTCCTGGTGAAAGTAAAAATCGGAGCATTTACCTCTTAATTAAAATGTTTTTTTTTTTACGTTTTGCTGTTCCATTTATGCTTTTATCACTCTCTTTATATTCTCGATTTATTCCCTTTTTTTTTGCTAGACTGATATACTGATGTATGTCTTTAAGAGAGATTATACAGATCAGTATAATGTATACATAATATATATATTATATCTTGTACGTATAATAGTATTGTGTGTGTATCATAAAATGAAACATATGTTTCCAGGAGTTGAATTTGATTATATCCCGGAAACAAACGGCGTACCACTTGTTGCTGATATGTCATCTAATATACTTACAAAATCTTTTTGTGTATCCAAGGTAAATATCCAAATAATTAAGATATCTTGAGAACTTCAGACATATTGAAATGCATTGCCTTTGATAAAGTTTTGTTTGCATCATATAACATGATAATTTCTTTTATTACTTCAATCTCGTCAATAATGTTAACAAAGGGTCTAGCGGGTTAGGAGGAGATTTCCGGCTACGCGCGTAATCGATATAGTCATAGTGGGCAAAATGTTCACCCAGATAAAAGAAAATTTTGTGCCAAGTTTCATTTCAAAAGACTCACACAATTTCGAAATATCACAAGAGATGTGATTTTTTTATTAATATTTTTTTTCTCTGCTAAATTTAAATTAATCTTTACAGAAAAATTCATGATTACAAAGGCTATCCATGTACATAAGTTTGAATTTTGTTGTCATTCTGTGCTGAAAATTCTGTTTTTAAAAAAATCCAGAATATTTTAAATCGCATTTTCTCTAGATCTAAAAAATT